GCCATCTAAGCGTCCCCCGGTCCTCTGACCGGCTCCGGTACGAAATTAATCTAGCCTGAACGCAGTCTTGGCGCCACTGAGCTGTCCACTCCATTAGCGTCTTGTCACTGGGCGAAACCATAATTTCCTCGTGAAATGGGAAGCGTTGGGCCATGTGCAGCAGCATGATTGGTTCCTCGCGAGCCGTGTGGATCCATTCCTCCTCTGTACTATGTTCCGATGGAAATGAAGATGTTGCTTTCGACGGCCAGACCGACCGCATTTGTTGCCAGAGCTCCGGCCACGCTTCTCTCATCGGCTTGTTTGGTAGCGTAGGTCCCCTCTGCTGATTTGCTTGCAAAACTGCTGTCTATGTATGTTGCTGGTTATGGTCCCGTTTGTCTTTCACGTCCTGACCAATGGCTTCACACTCCATGGGAGTTAGAGTGTGAGCCCTTTTGGCCAGTGCCTTGGGTGGGGAATGCTTACGTCGGCGGAAAATGACACCTGATTGCGTGCTGCTCTGACTGCTCTCCGATGATGGTACATAAGCAGAAGACGCTTCGTCCTCCACTTCTCCATCTCCGATGCGATCTCTCATAGCTGTCTCCTGATGAGCTGGCTGGATGGTTGACTTCCATTGCTGCAGCACTACTCTGGAAATTTGGTACTTCTAGATGAGCTGTCTGGTCGAGGAATCGTTATCGTTGGACAGGTCCACTTGAATCAACATCTCCCTTTCGGCAAATTAAGTTGTGATGCTGTATTCACCAGAAACGCTAACAGTTCGGGATGCCTGTCAGGCGCTGCCTGCTGGAGAACCACGTGGATTTCACATTTCAAGTCATGCGGGATCGATAGCCCCGTTAGTCTGCGGCGGAGCTCGCTCACGTCTCCCACCCAGGTCGTTGGATCCCATGGGCCGTCACTGTTAGACAGTTCGTTTTCAGTGGAGAGTGCTTGACTGTTGTCTGCTGCCATATCGATATCGTTGTCTCCTGCTAATGGGGCCTCTCTTTTTTCCTCATCCAATGATCCTGCCATTACTGGGGTATTGAGAGGCGCCGAGTAAACGAATGCTGAGTAGTGTCTGCCCCAAAAACGCAGAACTAGTGGCGCCTGCCGGGGATCGTCGAGTTTAGCTTAGCGAATCCGTTGAAGACACTCATGGAGCTGAAGCGGCATTTGTTGTCCTGTCGCAAAAAAAATCCTCGTCTGGTCATACTGCTCGACCGTTATTCGGAGCAGTACCAGAGCCTTTTGTCGTCTGTATCAAATGCCGATACGAAAATGCGTCGACGGAGAATTTTGCCGCTATCGCCATCAACTCGCTAGACCCCAATTGTGCCGCGGCACAATGTCATGTATCTTTGATGGTGAGGCCGAATACTCTTGCAAATACCACCTAAACGGCTTGCTCGATTCGGTGGGGTCCATCCCATCCCATCCTCTCCCCATAGTGACTAATGTTGTAGTGCGGGTGAAGTGATCGAATTGCTCCATGCAGTTGAGTTGGCCAGCCCAACATATCCCTCGTTTAATCGCAGCTGTCAGCTTCTCCATCACATCGGGTTTAGCCGCGAGGCTTTGGTTTGAAATGGCTTGTGCTATCGCCATCGCCATGCAATTCCCTGACACTGGAGTCGTGACTTCCTTCATTCCCAATTACTTCTCAATCTGTTCGAACGTCGTGGCATTCTTCAATGAGTGGTCTGATACGGGCAATGAGCGCGCGTGGCCGTCCCCTAAAGCGTGGATGATACTTCCAATCCCTCCATGCTGACGCTGTTTTAAAGCAGTGAGTTGCGACATATCCGGCAACTTCGGTAGCTTTGTCTTCACGAGGTGCAGTTTGGCCTTTTCCGCGGCTGTGATGGCTAGCTTCCGTTTTGTTTCTTACTCACTGCCTGATGAAAGCTCGACCACTTCCTGGACCGGTGGGTTTTCCTCTGATTTGCTCTCCGCTTCGGTCTCATCGTCATCTGCATCATACAGTTCCGAGTAGTGTGTTGAGACTTTCGCTCCCTTGCGCTGTAACGCGGCTGGATGTGCGTAGAGCGCTCTGCCCTTCGGCAAGGGCACTTATCCACTGGTTCCCCGAATGACGTTCCGCTGTTGCGCTTGCTCCTGGGAGGTTTGTCACATGAGTCTCTGGGTGAGAGCTCCGAGCTTCTCCCCCCCCTGCGCTGTGTGACGCTCCTTCAGTTTAGGCGGAGCTACTGGTGTAAGGGCTGCTTCTTCCTGACGATACGCCTTCACTTTGACCTTTAAACGCTCTTGCATGCTTCGCTGCATATCCGCTCGGTTGGCAAACGATTTGGCCAAGATGTCCAGGCTCGCAACTTGCAAGTCGTCAGCCACTCTGCTGCCTTCCACTTTGAGCGCGTCTTCTGAAATCTGGCAGCGCGCCATGATGTGGCCGAGGTTTCCGCAGCGGAAACATTGTAATTGTTTTAAGGTGTAGGGGTGCTTCAAGATAAGAGTTCTGCCAAACCTAATAATTCGCACGATGCCCCGGAGATATCCGGGCATTCCGCTGATGTAATCCTCACCGTCCCTGCTGTAGTCCGCATTGAATTTGGCGTGAACGGATCCACATTCGCCAACTTAAAGGCCACTGCTAGGTGCTTGGTCAGGAATGCTGTCAGCTGTCCAATATCCGTGAACCTTGTCAAGTTGTGGATCTCCACATCATATTCCCTCTGTGCTGTCCTGCGTACGCCATCATTGTTCAACTGACGATCCCAGACTGATCCCGTATCCGGTCGATGCATGTTCGTTTAGGAGTACATAATGCCTCGGAAGGGCACCTGCATGCCTTGGAACTTGGCTGCTGTCGCTCGGTCGAAAAAGAAGATGTGAATACTTCTCTTGATGTCGTTGTACGCTATTGTCTTGGCCAAATTTAGCATATGTTGCAACTCGTGCACACTAATTCGAGCATTGGCTGCGTCCAGCAAGATGTCTTCCTTAATCAGTCGAGTCTGCTGCCGGCTTTGTCTCACTCTTGCTTTGCCTCTCAATTGTAGTACGAACTCGCCTTCCACTTGTTGCTGAATTGTGGTGTGCAGCCTGAGTCGCTCCTGAGAATCGGACACACTGCTAAGGAAACCTGGCATCCGCCTGCATGCTATTGCGCCCTCTGCAATACCCACTATCTCTTTCCACTCGTCCGCTGTAGCCTCTCTCAGCTGGCAATTTGTACAGCAGCTTAGTGGTTGTGCGTGGATGTGGAAGAGTAAGCCGCAAGGGCGGGTGACAGCGAATACTTGCTCTTCAGAGCCCGTTGCGGCTTGTGGTTGTGTCGACAATCTCGTTTGGGTAAGGCGATTTTTAAAGGAACTGCTAGTGGACCTGGATGTATCAACAGTGTACTGTGATAATCAGAGTGCCCTTCAGGCAATTGCGAACCGTGGCAACAGCACGAATATTTGTTATTATGATGTTAGATGTTAATGTTTTATAAAACAACTTAAACAAAATTTATTAAGTACAGCGATTTGCCAAAGAAGCTCAAATAGTGGCCGAATTCGTTGATGAAGGTATGGCGCAATTGGAGTATGTACCAAGTTCTGAAAACCTGGCCCACATCTTCACTAAAGCGCTGGGTCCGGGGCGCTTTGAATACCTGCGCGATAAGTTGAATATGGAGAATGTCGTGACTGCGTGGAATAACGTGCAGATCCGGAGTAACTATCAGTGATCTGCTTGGATAATCGCAGGATTGTCGAGTTTGATTTGCATGGGCGATTTGGAGCTGTCCCGATCAACTATGGACTTGGGATGTAGCAAGCGGTGAAGCTTGTAAGGTCATCTCATTGCGTGTGCATCGTGAAAGCAGATATGTTTTCAAGGAGACAACCACGGACGTGTACGTGTTGAATGGGATTTGTCTTTGGTAAGCGACTGTGATGAGAGCTGGGAGGCGGTAGCAGCTAGCACGGTGACTTATTTGCTTCGGGACTGGAGGGTCCTGGAGGAAATGGTGTGAGCTTTTGAAGTGGTGTCTGGTATGCTTTCGCGGTAACATCGTAGTGAAGAGACTGATAACGCTCTATCAGACACTACACTCTTTTTTTGCAGAGCAACGAGAAGTGGGAGTATGAGAATCTGTCTCTATGGTGTCGACCACACTTCCTGATTCTGGCGGTCACTTTGCTCTGCGGGGATGAGGCCTGTGTTAGGCTGTGTTTTCGGCTGGAAATCTACTACTGGTGGCTTACATGCACTCTGTGGAACGTTGAAGGAATCCATGACACCCAGTTTGGATAGCCATCCATAGCCACCCAAACGGGGGCCACTTCCAGGAACGTGCAGTGTAGCCAGTAGAGTAAGTCCACCGGGGTTTTGTATTAATGGGCTTTCCTCCCTTTTCACAAACACAGAAGCTCGAAAAGGCTCAAATGAATCACTTTGCAATTTACTTGCTTTTACTCAAACACTCGTCTCTTACTTGTCAGCTCTCGACTCGCTCAACTCTTTAAGCACTCATGAGCGCTAGTCCTTCCTACACTCAACAAGCATATTCGAGTGGCTCATCGCGCCAATTCGAACAGAACGATTCACATGTATCTTGGTTAAAGTAGTGAGTGGTGTTGCCACCGCCGACACTCCGAATCGTAATCTTAACCCACTCCGACGTCGGTGATGTCTTCCGTGTCAATACTTCATTGCGTGGGGAAGCAGCGACTTATTCCCACTACGCCGGCGACAATAACCAATGCGTAAGTCATGTTGAGTCGAATCCTAGCCTTGCCTGTTCGTCGTTGTAGCTCAGAGGTCAAACATACGGCTTTTATGAAAAACCATTCTGCGATAAACAAGTCGTTTTCTCTCATGGACTGGCAAGCAAATCGGCTCCAGATCCAGCGAGATGACGCAAAAACTTGCAAGTCTCCATGCAAATGCGCAAGCATCCTCAACATCCCAGTTACCACTTCGAGTTGCCCACATATCAGTCCGTTTATGTGATGACGGCATGGTTGTTTGGGGTTTCACAATCACTTGGAAGCTGAGAAATATCAAAGCTTTCTTGTTGTGGTCACTACTAGGCCGTTGGTTTGGCAGTTTCAACAGGGTCAGTCTCATCAAATTTCCCTTCGGTGTCGTGTGCTGCAATCCGATCGTGCATTGTTATCGATACGTATCCAATCGTATCTGCATCTTGCCACCGGGAATTTCGTCTAACGCGGTTCATCATACTAATAGTATTGCTGCTAATCTTAGCCGAGGAGACCAGAATCTCGATGTCTTCTTCCCAGCTAGGAGCCAAATTCGTCCATGTTGGTGGCAATCGCGCTATAGTTGTCTGCCCCTCGAGGTGAATGGCCACAAACGGGTAGCTCGACAACATATTCGTGATCATCACATCATGAGTAGCTCCAAAACAAATATTTTAAGCCTCTCTATGTTTTCCGCGCGATATCGCACACTACTGAGCATTCGATCCTTGTTGCCGGATATTCGAGCGGATTTCTTCTCAAGTTCCAGCAGCTCCTGGTGCAGTGCGCGGTAATCACGCCAGCTACGCCTGCGATCGACAGGAATCCGCATCATTTCCTCCTGACATTGCACGACATAGCCGCGAACAAATAGCACTTCGACAACGCTGAAGTAGAATGGGAGGTGATTAGAACTAGGCCACTGAATCCTCTTCGCTCACTTCTTCACAGCTTCAGACGTGAACAGATGTGTTCGCTTCTTCCTTTGCGTAATGATTTCGTTAATTGCGGATATGGCAGCGTCAAGATGACGCAACGACTTTTCTGACTTAGAAACCTTTGACGCATGCAGAAACGATAGTCTAAGCGAAATAAGCTCGTCATACATTGCGTAAAGAGATATTTGAATATTTGAGCCACGCAAACGCCCCAGCAAACTCTCGTAAACGTCGATAGTTGTCGACGCATTGTGGGTTTTGTAGCGATAAAGGACCTCCGCCATCTCGAAGCAAAGTAAAATGGAATATGATGCCACGAAAGAAGCAGTAGCTTCACGTTGAATGTCCGTGTCGTAGTCGCTGTTTTCTTCGCTTGGACTTTATTTTGAAAATGGATGGCCAAGCTCATCAGATGCGTAGTCCAAGAGTCTTGATGCGCGAGAAATCTCTTCAACAGCTGAACAACGCAAGTGTAAGCGCATTTCAGATGGAGACCCTCATTCCACAAACCGTTTCCCCCTACGAAACAAGTCAGCGAGGGTCGAGACGGATTGATGAAATTGGTGATGCCGGAAACCTTGCAACAGGATGTCCTACATCACTATCACGCTAGCTTAGACGGTGCACATCAGGGAATCGGTCGGACCTACCAACGGATCCGAGAATGTTTCCACTGGAGGGGACTATTCAAGAGTGTGCAACGATATGTCGGTGAATGTGTGGATTGTGAGACAGGCAAGGGCAGACCCACAATCGAAGGGGAGTCTCCTGGGAATGTCCAAGCGACTTACCTGCTCCAAATCATAGCCATGGATCACATCCCCTCGTTACCCAAGTCGTTCAAAGGAAATACAGAATTGTCGATCTGGGGGGATCTTTTTTTTTTTACCGTATACGTGATAGTTAAGGCTAGCGCGTCCAGAACTGCACAGACCATCGCTGAATCGTACGAGGAGTGTGTCTTTCGTAGATTTGGTGCTAGTGAGATGATTTGGCGTGATCGGCAGCCAGGTTTCATGTCCGATTTCTATCGAGCCTTCAACAGAATCCTTCTTCTAAAGTGGATCTAGGATCCCACCCATGTTCCAAGTAAAATGGGGTATCGCCCCGGATCCTGTCCTGTGCGGTATTTATTGCGAAGGTGAGGCGCTCTGCGTACACATCCCAATCCCGCTGATCCAAATCCTGGACATACATTTTGAGCGCCCTCGTGATCGCCTGCACCATGCGTTCGGCAGATCCATTAGCTGGGGACGATATGACATAGTTGCCCGCTGTCTTTGCCCCCCCCCCGCCTCACAAACAAGCCTGAGCTTCTCCTAAGACCCGTTCCCCGACCAGATTCTACCGGCTCTCCGCCTGTCGGAACTGGGATCCGGGAAAGGGAAAAGCCAAACGTGTCACCCCCCACTGGTTGTGGACTTGGCAGCTCGGAGGACTACGAGGAAGAGGGATCGGATTGGTCCGACGGCTCGGGGCCTCCCATCCGATCGTCCTCAAAGCGTACACTGTCAACCGGCCATTATTGCTTCACCCCGGACGACGATGACGATGACAATGACGACGACGATGACGATGAAAGCCCGGAGGATTCAGAGGAGGCTCGAGTTGCTGATGATACCTTGAAGGAAGACACGCGACGTGCCTTGTCCCAGTCCAGATCCGAAGCCCGGCGGAGATCTCGCTCGACACCGCCCCAGCAAGTCGCTGACACGGCCGGATCCGGAGCCGGCACTCCGGAATCCGCGATCCAGGTCGACAGTGATAGTGGGTCGGGTAGCCATAGTGGAGGGGGTTCACATCATGGTGGCGGATCCCCTGGATCTATCTTGATCCCCGCTCCTCCTAATTCTTCTTTGCCAGGTATGCTCCCCGTGGCTCCGTTTGGTCCGGATGCTGTCTTCATTCCTGGTCGGCGCGCTCCTGTGGCTTTCGCTACAAGAGACATTGAGCCTTGGTCCGCCAAGAAACTGAACCGGGTCGCCAACGTCACGATGAAGATCACTGTCCTGTTCCCTGAGATGACGTTTCGTGCTGAGTGGATATTCCCTCGTGAAGAGGATGTCATCCCGACGTCCGACTATGTGGATTCGCTCGTCACCAGATCTCACGTGGAAGAACTACAGGATGCCGCACCATGGGATACGCTGACGACCGCACTAGTGGATCCTGTTAGCCTCCGAAGTGACGTGGATGGACGTCTCGTGTAGCTCGTTCGTGCCTTCTGGGACTTCGTCTCCAAGCACCGGATTGCCACATGAGAAGGCGCCCATCGGTTCCCTGTCTCTCGCACCCAATTGCGGGGATCTACATGGTTGTCGAACTTTAACAAGCAGCGCGGCAACAGACGCAGTCACGCCGGTCGGGATTGGAAGAAGGTTCTCGTGATCCTTGTGTTGGCGATCCAAGACGGTTGGTGTGACTTGGATATCTTGTTGGGTCCGTCCTTCTTGCATTTTCCCCGACGCGGGGATAAGGTAACGTGGTTTCCGGGGTCCGTATCCTGTCAAGCCAACTTGGAGGATCCCAACCTCCACCGCCCAGAACCAACGAACGTATTGGAGGCTCTGCAAGAGATCGATGAAGCCGAGCCTTGGCGTATCCAATTTGGGGGGGACCCGAGCCAATACCCAGGACACTAGATCCAGCGTCTGGTGGGCAAGCACTTCAAGGTTCAGCCCCAGACTACCTGATCCCTATCGTTCTTTCACGGTACGCCTCCAGTTTCAGTCTTCGTGGATTCGCTTCGTAGTAGTAACTAGCGACTGGAAACTGGGTCGAGCTAGCCTTTTTGCATAAGCTATTTAAATTCATTTATCGTTACTTGAATATGTCTTTAACATTCTCTTGTTGAATGAGGAATCCTGTTAGAGCCTTCCGCGTACACCTGGATCTGAACTTGATCCACCCTTTCAGCGTACAGCTGGATCTGGGCTGGATCCACCCTTTCAGCGTACTCCTGAATCTGGGCTAATTCCTGGATCCGGGCTGGATCCGCGCTTGGATTAGAGCCGGATCTAGCTCCTACGACTCAGTCTCAATTAGACTAGTATGATTCGGCCCCCCGTGTACGGGGAACAGGCGATATTCGGTACCTGCCGCTTCCAACTTCACGGCGTGCCCCCCCCCTATCTTTTCGCTTACTCGGAACGGTCTGTGCCAAAGATGGGCCCGTTTACGGGCATACGTTTCTATACTCGATCTAGGTACAGCCACACCTGTGGTCCAACTTGGATTTGATGTGTACGGGCATCTTCGCTGTGTCGATCCGCTCGATGCTGTATCGCACTTCGCAACCGTTCGTTCACCTGCGATCTGGCTTGCCGGTAATATTTCTCGACCTGGTATTGCCATCGTCTTGGGTCTCGGTTTCTCCTCTTGATACTACCTACCGGAATGGCTGGGGGGATCCAGTACCAGGAGCAGGGGATGCACTACGCGGCCGTTTCGCGGCCGACGGACCCGCCCCACTCGGAGACTGCGGAGCAGCTGAGACGCTGGCGGCAGGAGGCGATCCAGCCACGGGAGAAAGTGGATCCGACGATTCAGGGGGAGGAGAAACAGGATCTGAGATAGCAGCGGCCACCAAAATCAGTCGTCGACGCGCCAAGTACCGCTCGGATAACCTGCGATCGCGCTCTAGAACCTGCTGCTGGTGCTGAGCACTAGCAGTAGCAAGCGGATCCCGTAGCTTCGCTGAAGTTGCCTCAGCATCCTTAAATTTGTCACCTGGATCGACATAACAATTGAATATGGGATTACCAGAAGGAAACAAAGGAGGATTCACGTACTCATGCGACGGATCTTGGATTTCAGTTCCGTCTGTGTTCGCTTGGCATCTGCCCACTCGGTGGCCGCCTTGTCACGCTGAAGCTCGGTATCCGCCAGCTTGACATGGATCTCGACGCGGGCTTGAGTCATTCGTACGAATTCCTCAAGCGCGTAGTCTCGCCCAGTCGATGCTTTCTCGAGCGACTATTGGTATCTATCAACGCCTCGGAGAGAAGAGCAAGAGCCAAATTTGGCAAAGAGGGAGGTGGATTCGGTACGGGGGACCCTCCGCGCGCCGACCCTAATGCGGATCTGCCATGGGCGGATCCCACATAATCGTTGGTCACTACCCTTCCTGAGTCAGGCACAACCCGTCGCGGAGCCGACCTAAGCGCTCGTCAGCACCCGCGCTAGCAGCTTGGGACTCTTCCAGATCCCGTTCGAGGTCGTGAATCCGGGATTGGAGCTGGTGGATCTCGGATCCGGCGAGCGCCATCTCCCGAAGGAGATGGTCGTTGTCGTCTCGCATGCCATCCCGTTGACGGGAGGCGCGATCCAGCCGTCCAGTCAAGTCACGGATCTCGACTGCTTGATCGGCCAACAAGAGTTGCAGATCCTGCGAGCGAGAAGCCGCGCGGTGCTCCCACCCTTGAATCTCCATAGCCTGATCATGGACCTGAGATTGCAAGGTTTGGAGCCGGGTGGCGTACGAAGACATGGATAATGACTGATAAGCCTGCTGAGCAGCCGCCTCCGCACGTTGAGCTTGGTCCCGAGCATTTTGGGCCGTCTCGAGCTCCGCCGCCAAGGTCCGCACCTGATCGAAAAAAAAGAGCTTGGGCTAAGGCCCGCAAATCGGTGGGCGACATAGAGGGACTGACCGGCGGAGTGGTGGATGGGGCCTTGCCCGGCGATGTGCTAGTGCGCTTGGTGGGAGACATGCGTCACGTAGAGGAGGAAACTGTTGGAAGAGCAGGGACGCTGGGAGTGGACGCCGTGAACGCTGTTATGCAGCGCCGACCACGTACAGGAGGCGATTGTGGTGAAGTGCTTTCTCAAAAAATAAGAGAATGGACCTAGCAAGAGGTCACTATCCCGAATCAGTGACATTTTCAAGTGATTAGAGAGGATTTGGCTCGCCAGGCAGGGATTCACGTTGCCTAAGGTGGATTGGCCATGATGAGCGGCATCCCATATAAGCCGACGATGGATCTGGTATGGGTGACGTATGGGAAGGCAAGATCCACCACGGAAGGCCCCGGATCCACCCTCACCTGAGTTCACTTAGGGGGATATGGGATATACTATGTACGGGTGGATCGAGTGTGGATCCTATGAAGGAATGATGGTAGGTGTCATCTGAAGGTGCATCTAGTATCCACGACTAACGAGAAGGCACGATCCACCGCGAGGTGTCCCTGATCCCATACTTCCGAGTTCGGATCCAAGGAGGTGAGGATCCCGCATAGAGAGACCTGGATCCAGGATGCAGGGATGATGGATACAGTGGATC